CATCACCACCACCATTACAACCATCAACACCATCACCTCTACCATCACCACCACTACCACCACCATCACCACCATCACCACCATCACCTACAACCATCACCACCATCACCACCACCAAAATCACCACCACCATAACCACCATCACCACCACCACCACACATCACCACCACCATCACGACCACCACCACGACCACCACCATCACCACCATCACCATAATCAACACCACCATCACCACTACCATCTCCAACACCATCACCAGCATCAATAACACCACCACCACCACCATCACCACCACCGATATCACCACCATCATCACCACCATCACCACCACTATCTCCAACACCATCACCACCACCATCACCATCACCTCCACCACCAAAACCATCGCCACAACAATCACCACCACAAATCACCACCGCCATCACCACCTCCATCATCACCCCCACCACCACCAGCATCACCACCACCATCACCACCACATCACCACCACCATCACCACCACCATCACCAACACCACCACCATCACCACCACCACCATCACCACCATCACCACCAATCACCACCACCATCACCACAATCCTCACCACCATCACCAACACCAACACCACCACCATCACCAACACAATCACCTCCACCACCACCACGAAAACCATCGCCACAACAATCACCACCACAATCACCACACGCCATCACCTCCGCCATCACCACCGCCATCACCACCGCCATCACCACCTCCATCACCACCCCCACAACCACCAGCATCACCACCACAATCAACACCACTAATCACCACCACCATCACCACCATCACCACAACCATCACCACCACCATCACCACCTCCATCACCACCATCACAACCACCATGACCTCCACCATCACCACCATCACTATCACCAGCATCAACACCATCACCACCATCACCACCATCTCCACCACCCATCACCACTGTCAACACCACCATCACCACCACCATCACCACCACCACCATCACCACCACCATCACCACCATCATCACCACCACCATCGCCACCACTATCCCCACCACCACCACCACTACCACATCACCACCCCCCAAACACCCACACCATAAACCATCACCACCTTTCCCCAAATAAACCCCCAAAATATCACCCCCAAACACCACCCCTTAAACCACCCCCTTTTTCCACCCTATAACCACCACCACCACCCCCAATCACCACCCCCAAATCACCACCAACATCATCCCCAAACCATCAGCACCCCCCCCACAAACCCATCACTACAATCACATCTACCAGCATCAAACTACCAAAAGAACCACCATCCCCAAACCATCACCCCCACCATCACCACCATCACGACCATCACATCACTATCACCACCCCGGGTCACCACCACCTTTCACCACCACCACCACCACCATCCCCCCCAAACCATCACCACCATCACCACAAACCACCATACCACCCCCAAACACCCCCCAGCCCCTTCACCTCCCCCGCCATCACCACCACCATAAACCATCACCCCCATCACTCCCAAATAAAACTATCACCACCATCACCACCATCCCCCTTTTCCACCCCAACCACCATAAACCCACAACCATCACCCCCCACCACAACCCACCACACCCCCACCATCCACCCCCAAACCACCATCACCACGTTTCACCACCCCCAAACCACCACCACCAACACCATCACCCCCCCACCATATCACCCCCAACCCCCCACCATCACCACCGCCATCACCACCACCACAATCACCCACCACCATAACCTCCACCATCACCACCACCCTCACCACCACCCCACCACCGCCATCACCACCCCCATTTACAACCATCAACACCATCACCACAAACCAAAAACCAAACCACAAACCCCCCAAAACCATCAAAACCCAAATCACCACCATCCCCATCCACCACACCACCATCACCCCCAAACCAAAATCCCCAAACCACCATAACCACAACCATCACCCACCATCCCCAAACCCCCACCCCCAAACCCCCACCACCATCACGACCACCACCACGACCACCACCATCACCACCATCACGACAATAAACACCCCCCATCACCACCACCATCTATTTCCACCATCACCCCCAAACACCAAACCCCACCATCACCACCATCACCAACACCACCATCACCACCATCACCCCCCCACCGTTCACTACCATCATCACCAACCGAAATCACCACCGTCATCACCCCCAAACCCCAAACCAAAAATCACCAAAAACCATCACCACCCCCAAACACCATCACCTCCACCACCAAAACCACCCCAAAACAATCACCACCACAATAAACCACCCCCCATAAACCACCGCAATCACCCCCCCCAAAATCCCCACCTCCACCCACCACCCCCACCACCACCACATCACACCACCACCAAAAACCAATATCCCAAACCACCATCACCACCACCACCACCAACACCAACACCAACAACCACCCAGCACCACAACCATCACCACCACCCCCCCCATCACCACCATCCTCACCACCATCACAACACCTTTACCACCATCACCACCACCACCACCACCCCCAAACAACACCACCATCACCCCCAAAAAACACCACCACCACACCACCGCAAACTCCCCCCGTTTATCACCACCGCCACACCCCCCTTCCATCACCCCCCCCCACCATCCCCAGCATCACCACCACCACCCCACCACCATCACCCAACCCCATCACCACCAACCACCACCTTTCACAACCACTATAAACCAAACCACCTTCACCACAACCACCACCCCCTTTCACCACCCCCCTAACACCAACACCATCACCAAAACCCCCTCCACCACCACCACCCCCCACCCCCTTCCCCAACCCACCCCCATCACGAAAAACCAAATCACCACCCCCATCACCCCCATCCCCAAACCCCCATCACCCCCCCCATCACCAGAACCACCACCACCATTACCACCACCCCACCACCCCCAAACCCCAACACCTCCACCACACCAACCCCCCCAAACCATCCCCAAACACCAAAACCCTTTCAAAAAAACCCAAACCCCCAAACCACCTCACAAAACCCCAAATACCATCCCCACCATCACCCCCAATAAACCCCCACCATCAACACCACCATCAACACCCCCCAAACCAAACACCACCCCCAACCCCACCCCCAAACACCACCACCATCACCACCATCACCACCACCATCACCACCGTCACCTCCACCACCACCCCCCATCCCCCCCACCATCACCACCCCCCCCACCATCACCCCCAAACCCATCCCCCAAAAACCCATCCCCACCCCACCATCACCACCACCACTACCTCCCCCAAACCACCATAAAACCCCAAACCCACCACACCACCATCCCCACCACCATTCCCAAACCACA